CATGGTCTGGATGACGATGCCCCGTGATGCTGGAGGTGTGGGGTCACAACGTGACCCCAGGGGTCTAGTGAGAGCCCTGCTGGGCTGAGATGGGACCTGGTCTTGCTCTGTCAATCCTTATTTTCTATTTAGTTTTGTTTCCAGGGACGTGGCTGCTCGGGTGCCTGCTCCCAACTGCCTTACTGGGGAGCGCTGGTGGCCGTAATCGAGTTCAGCGTGTCCTCGGGCTGGTTCTCTCCCACACCACAAAGCCTTCAGGGAGCCCCTAAGTGCCTGGTCCCTCACCAGGAACAAGATTAACATCCTGTTCCTTAGAAAGAGGATTTATTTCTTTCTTTATGATTTTTTTTTAAAGTCTTTCTGACCTTCTCAAAACTCCTTCTGCTGCTCATGATGCAGCCAGACCCTCCCTCCCACACATGGACCTGTGTGTTTGTGGACTGGGATGGTCTGGGCTCTGCGGGGTGGGAATTATCACTCTTTGACGTGTTGCCTGGAGCCGAGGAACCTCCTTGGTCTGGGGGTGTCACAGAGGCTCCGGGAGGGTTTTTTCCATCTACTCAAATCGATGGGAGGAAGGGGGGTGGCATGAGGCAGCTCTGCCGTGTGTGAGCAGATGCATGAGCAGCTCTGAGGAACAAGACCTGGGAGTCCTGGTGGCCACCAGGATGCCTAGGAGCCAGCAATGTGGTGGCCAAGAAGGCCAATGGCATCCGGGGGGCATCAGGAAGAGTGTGAGCAGCAGGTGGAGGGAGGTCATCCTGCCCCTCTGCTCTACCCTGGGGAGGCCCCAGCTGGAGCACTGGGACCAGTTCTGGGCTCCCCAGTTCCAGAAGGACAGGGAACTGCTGGAGAGGGGACAGCAGAGGGCTACGAGGATGCTGAGGGGCCTGGAGCATCTCTCTGATGAGGAAAGGCTGAGGGACTTGGGGCTTTTTAGTCTGGAGAAGAGAAGACTGAGGGGGGATCTGATCAATGCTTAGAAATACTTCAAGGGTGGTGTCAGGAGGATGGGGCTGGTCTTTTTCCAGTGGTGCCCAGTGACAGGACAAGAGGAAATGGGCACAAAGTGGGACATAAGAAGTTCCATCTCAACATGAGGAGGAACATCTTGACTTTGAGAGTGGCAGAGCCCTGGAAGAGGCTGCCCAGAGAGGTGGTGGAGTCTCCTTCTCTGGAGACATTACAAATCCCCCCTGGATGAATCCAACCTGCTCTGGGTGGACCCGCTTTTGGTGGGGAGGTTGGACTGGATGATCTCCAGAGGTCCCTTCCAGCCCCATATGATTCTATGAGCATCGGGTCATAAATCGCCATCAGGTCTCCTTGCCCGGCTCCAGGAGGTGGCAACCACCCCAGATCTGGCAAAAAAGAAATATGTTCTAAATGGGTTTTTTGGACCTAAAAACAGAGATCCGAGGTGGCAAGATGGATCTGGCAGCACAGGGAGCTTCATCCTTCCTCCCCGGGGGGAGGCTGTCAATCCGCTGGCTCATAAATCTCATTTAAATCAGCCCCGTTCCCAGGGGCTCCCCAGACCTAAGGGAGGCAAATTATTTAATTGTCTTTTCTAAGATGGCAAAAAAAAAGGGGTTGGTCGTTGATGAATAGGGTGATTTGTAGCGCGGGGGAAGAGAGGGAGCCACGCGCCGTGCCGGAGGCTCCGCCGGAGCATCGGTGTGTTTTGACACGCCGAGAGGGGTGTTTAATTGAGGACGAGCCAGGAAAATAGTAAAAAAAAAAAAAAACCAAAAAACTCCTCCTTGCAAATGAATGGGTCTCTCCAAGCCCTGGCAGAACCCTCGGTAGCAAAATCAGAGCTGAGGTTTCACCCAGACTTCGGAAAGCAGCCCGTTCCTCTCGGGCGAAAATTGCTTTGGTTTCTCTTTTTATTTATTTTTATTGCTTTGGTTTTGCTTGGAAAATACACAAACCTCCCCAAAATTGCCTTTTGATGGAGCAACGAAGACACTGAGAAGGTGACAAATACTTCCAGGGTGTCGTAACAGCTAATTTTTCTGTGTCCTGGAAGCGGTTGACGATGTTCGTCGGCGAACGCCACGGGCTTCAAAGCCCCTCTAAGGAAATGTTTTTCTGGGAATTCTCAGCCGTTCCTGCCCTGGTTTGGTTTCTCCTTCCCCTTCCCCAAATTTTGGCAGAGCCTGAACCTCCTGGGGAGCCGTTGGCCCAACGCAAACCCGTGTCCTCACACCCTTGGCTGGACAAAAGCCTTGGGCTTCCTTCTGGTGGTTCTTTTGCTGGGAATTGGTGTTAAAATGTAGGGGTTTTTTTCTGGCTTTTTCAGGGAAAGCAAATGTAAAATGTGATTTTTGCACCGTTTTTAGCCCCCAGCGCTGGTTTCTGGCCCTGGTTTTGCCAGGGCTGGGGTGTTATTCGCAGCTCTGGCTACTGGTGTGGCCAGTGGAAGAAGGAAAGAGGTGTTTTGGTGCTGCTAGGAGGGGGAATCTGCCGCCGTGTGGCCACCAAAGGCGAGTGGCTGTGGCCACCACTGAGGGTCCTGGCCCAGAGCAGCCCTTGGAGACATCCCCCTGGGAAAGCAGCGCACAGTGGGGCTCCTGGATGCGGGATGAGGTTGGGATTCACCCCTGCTTGGCAGAAACCTGCTCCTGAGCACCCTCCCGAGCACCCATCTCCGTCCCACCAAGTTTTGGGGGTTGTAGGACACAGACAGCCCCCAGCAGGTTTCCCTTCCCAAGGGGATGGATTCCAGGAGCAGCTCCAAGAAGATCTCCCTTCCAAAAGGGATGGATTCCAGGAGCAGCCCCAAGAAGATCTCCCTTCCCAAAGGGGATGGATTCCAGGAACATCCCCAAGGTCTTCCTTCCCAAGGGGATGGATTCCAGGAGCATCCCCAAGAAGGTCTCCCTTCCCAAGGGGATGGATTCCAGGAGCACCGACAGCCACCACGTTCCAGGCCATGGCAAAACACCTGCCAAGCACCCAAACTGGAAGCTGCTCTGCTGGTCACCCAGGACATCTCTCTCCAGTGAGCAGCAGGGCTGCTTGTGGGTGAAGACCCTTTTGGGTGAAGAAGACCCTTGGGGAGACCTCAGAAAACCTTCTCCCCGCCACATGGGGCACCCTGATGCACCGTTTAATACTTCTCTAGGGCTTTGTGGTGCTCCTGACTCCACCACAGCTTTCCAGGACCATGTTTGGGGACGCTGCCACCTCCAGCATCATGGGACAGGATGGGGAAAGAAGGTGCTGGTGGCCACCAGCCAACCTCGGAGGGGTCTTCCCACCCCTCCTTCTGCAGCTCTCAATTGACAAAAGCAAGGGGTGACTTGGTCGTGGAGCATCCAACCTGGAAGCCGCTCTGCTGTTCCCCCAGGACATCTCTCTCCAGCGAGCAGGAGGGCTGCTTGTGGGTGAAAAAGACCCCTTGTGGGTGAAAAAGACCCTTTTTGGGTGAAGAAGACCCTTGTGGAGACCTCAGTGGTCTCCCTTCTCCCCGCCACACAGGGCACCCTGATGCAAAGCCCCTTCCAGCTGCGATTCCCACGTGGATGATGGCACCGCTTCAACCCACCACGTCTCTCCGGCTTCTTGGAAAAGGTTACTCAGCCCCTTCATGGAAGTGACGTGGGTGCACGGGGAGGAGTGAGCTCAGGAGTTTCCCTCCGCCCCCGGGAAAGGTCGCTCCCTCGTCAGACCTGACATTTTAGCCTTCACCTCTGGGAAGAAGCAAAAAACAATTGGTGTTAAAATTCTTGCAAGCAGACACCGGTTTTGAGGCTGGTCGTGGTGAAGTTGCAGGATAAATCCCAAGGTTTTCCCATCGTCTTGTTCCCAAGGCACCAAATCCCCGTGTGGGGCAGGAAAACTCAAATTCCAGATGGTCTTTTTGGGGGGGTTTGTACGGAGCTGTCACAGCAGCGAAGCTTGAAGGGCCCCAAGCTGCTGGTGGGATGGTAATTAGCAACCGGAGGCCTCAGCTGGGATGCTGTGGGTGATGAAGCAGCGGAGGAACCACCACGGTCAAGGCTAAAAGGTCTGGGAAAAGCTCACCTGGAGGAGACACTGTGGGGGGAGAAACCAGAACAAATAAACCAGCTTGGTGCTGGTGGCTGCAGGGAATAATAGAATCCTTGAGGTTGGAAGAAACCTTGAAGATCATTGAGTCCAACCATCAACCCACCACTGACCCATGGCCCTCAGCACCACATCTGCCCAGCTTTTAGATCCCTCCAGGGCTGGCGCTTGGGGAGTGGAGCCATAGGACGAGGGGGAAGGGTTTTCAACCAAAATTTGCGAGATTTAGGTGGGATCTGGAGAACTTCTTTGGTGTGAGGGTGGTGAGAGCCTGGCCCAGGTTGCCCCGAGAAGCTGTGGCTGCCCCGAGAAGCTGTGGCTGCCCCATCCCTGGAGGGGCTCAAGGCCAGGTTGGAGGGGGCTTGGAGCAACTTGGGCTGGTGGGAGGTGGCCCTGCCCAGGGCAGGGGGTGGCACTGGGCGGGGGGGACTTTGAGCTCCCTTCCCACCCAAACCAGTCCGTGATCCACGAGCAGATCTGAAGTGAAAGACAAAGTGACCCGAGGAGGGAGGAAAACACCCCCAGTCCCTGGTGTGCCACCTCCCTGCACACCTGAATTGTGAAATTTAAATTTATAGGGGGGGAAAAAAAATTAAATTATCAGCCGGGGTTGAACGGGGGGAGCTGAGCACCTCTTCCCCCCCCTGCCCTTGCTCCCCCCTCGGCCACCGCCTCTGCGTTGCCCGGGCTCCCTTGGCAACCTGCCGACTAGCCGGAGGTGGCCGTGGCTCTGTGATATCTCCTCCCCGTGTGGGAACCACACAAGTGGTCCCCGAGCTGACGAAGGCTATTTCGGGATCAACCCCACCCCCCCCCCTGCCCTGGGGCCACGGGCTGGGGGGAGGGGAGCAGTGGAACCCCCCTCTCCCCCTTTTGCCTCATCGCTCTCCTGAAGTTTTGGAGCTTTCTCCTGACCGTGTCTTCTCCTGTCCCTTGGGTTGCAGGTGGCTCCATGTCCCAGCTCCAGAGCTCCTGGGAAATGCACCAGCAGAACGGGGCATATCTTCCAGATCCAGGTAAAGGATAACCCCCCTGGGCAGAAAAACCTTCTTTTTGGGGGTTTGTTTTTTCCTGGGAGCTTTCTCCAAGCCCTGTTGCCGACTTGACCCCCCTCTAAAGGAGCGAGAAGCAAAACTGTGCTCAATTTTGGGGTGAAACCAAGATGGGGAGGACTCCAAGCTCAGAGCCGCTTTTCCCTGGCACGGGGGGGAGGTCAAGAGGCTTGACTTGGGATCAAGCCGTGGGGTCAGAGATTTTAGACTTGTCCTAACTTTAGGATTATCCAAATTTTAGGTTTGGAGGGTTGTCCTCTTGATTTTATCTTTTTTTTTTTTCTTTTTCTGAACTCCTTTTGGCTCCAGACTCCCCATCCGGAGTTACGGAGCGACTGATAAAGAATATTTTACAGGGGACCATCCCCAGCACCAACCCCAAACCAGCCCCAGCAGTTGCCTCTTGAGGAAGAATTTAGCCCTCCCTAAAACAATAAAAAGCTCTCGAATCAGCTTAAAATGTCTCGCCCTGAGAGAAAGGGGTAACTCCGCGGGGGGAAACTGAGGCACGAGAGGTGACTCGCAGGGCGAGGGGAGGGATGAGCACAGCCCAAGAAAAAAATGCACCTTGGTGTTATTTACCCACATTTGGCGCCAGGAAAACCTTATTTTCCTTATTTCCTTTATTTTCCCTGTGCTTTTAGATACTCAGGCAGCCAGATTTCTCCCGGGGGCGACGGTGAACGGGGGAAAGTCAATGAAAAGTTCTGTTTTAATATTCATTTCTGCCTTAGGAGCCCTTTTTCCTCCCTCCCTTGTTTACGTCCCCGCTGAGGATTATTATTTTCGTTTTAAATGGCATCGGGGGATTTCTCTCGCTGGCGGGAACGTGCCAGTGCCGCTTCCTCCCCCCCCCAACCCTGGGGATGGGGGGCGGGAAATTCTGTGCTGGTGCCCGGGCGGCGTGACCTCGTTCCCTGTGGTTTTACCGGCAATTCTGGTCCTTTTGAGACTTTCTGAAAACAAACATGAAGGAGTCGGGAGGGGGAAACCCCCCCCGGGGTTTGGGATGGGTGATGGGAATCCTCTCACCAACCTCTCACCTCTCACAGGGTGCTCTGGGGGGTTTTAAGGCTGGGGGGGGTGGTGGGAAAAAAAGTGGGGGATGAGTCCTGGTTTTACTGGGTGAAATGTGGCCACGTATTAAAAACAAGCCACAACCTGCTTTTTGGTGGTGTTGGTGCCCAGAGCCCAAGGGCACGAAGAAGTTTCTCTTGCCAAATGGCGTGGAAGCCAAGGAGAAACACTTTATTTGCTTCTGATTTGCTTTTTTTTTTTTAAAAAAAAAAAAAAAAGGGCTGTAACAGCTTTACACGATAAACACCTGGTTCTCTCTCTGCTCCCCCAGACATGGAGACCGTGGCCGCCAGCACATCCCTGCCCGACCCGGCCACCGACTTCGACAGGAACGTGCCCCGCATCTGCGGCGTCTGCGGGGACCGAGCCACCGGCTTCCACTTCAACGCCATGACCTGCGAGGGCTGCAAGGGCTTCTTCAGGTGAGGGAGGGGCTCTGGGGAGGAGGAATCACAGAATCACAGACTGGTTTGGATGGGAAGGGACCTTAAAGCCCACCCAGTGCCACCCCTCTGCCCTGGGCAGGGACACCTCCCACCAGCCCAGGTTGCTCCAAGCCCCCTCCAACCTGGCCTTGAGCCCCTCCAGGGATGGGGCAGCCACAGCTTCTCTGGCCAACCTGGGCCAGGCTCTCACCACCCTCACACCAAGGAAGTTCTCCCTGAGACCTCACCTAAATCTTCCATTTTTTGGTTAACAACCCTTCACTCTCATCCTATGGCTCCACTCCCTGGAGGGATCTAAAAGCCGGTGCTGAGGGCTGTGGGTCAGTGGAGGGTTGGGCCGTGGTGGCTTGATGGTTGGTCTTGATGAACATGAAGGGAAGTGGTGGAATCGCCATGGAATCACAGAACATTTTGGGTTGGAAAGGACCTTAAAGCTCATCCAGTTCCATCCCTTCCAATGGCTGGGACATCTTCAAGGAGACCACGTTGCCCCAAGCCCCCTCCAACCTGGCCTTGAACCCCTCCAGGGATGGGGCAGCCACAGCTTCTCTGGCCAACCTGGGCCAGGCTCTCACCACCCTCACACCAAACAAGTTCTTCCCCACATCTCAGCTCCATCTCCCCTCTTTCAGTGTCAAACCCTTCCCCCTCATCCCATGGCTCCCCTCCTTCATCAAGAGTCCCCCCCAGCTTTCCTGGAGCCCCTTGAGGGACTGGAAGGGGCTCCAAGGTCTTCCCGGAGCCTTCTGTTCTCCAGGCTGAACCCCTCCAACTCTCTCAGCCCCCCCTCCCAGCAGAGGGGCTCCAGCCCTCCCAGCATCTCCGGGGCCTCCTCTGGCCCCGCTCCAACAGCTCCGTGTCCTTGGGACATTGGTGGCCCCAGAGCTGGAGGCAGCACTTGGTTGGGGATCCCCATAGGGACAGAATCCCCCTCCTCAACCTGTTGGCCACGGTGCTGGAGATGCTGGCCATGGGGCTGGGGGTGCAGCCCAGGTTACCTGTGGCTTTCTGGGCTCCTGTGGAACTTCTCACCCCACAAGACCCCCAAATCCTTCTCCTCGGGGGCTGCTCCCAGGCCATTCTCTGCCCAGCCTGGACTTGCAGACACCCGCAGATCTCGATAACGGCCGGATGGCAAACTATTTCCCTTCTTGTGCCACCCGGCTACTGGGAAACAGGTTGTTTTTCCCTCTAGACAGAGATTTCCATCTGTCTGGGATCCTTACAGAGCTGCACGGGTAGGAGTGTAAGAGCCTCTGGCACCCTACGGAGGGGAAAAATAAACCTGAAAATAGCAACCTTTGAAAACTAAACATGATACCACGGCCACAAACCTCTTTATTTTTTAAGGCAAGCTGCCTCTGAAGCTCTGAGCACTTGTCCACGGGCGGGGATGTATGGGGTCTCTGCCCATTTGCCCAAAATCAGCCACTTTCACTCACAACTCTTCTTTTTTTGGGGAGGATTAAACTACATTTAGGCTGTACGTCCAGCTTGCTTGAGGCTTTTTCCCCCGGTGGGATGGCGGTCTGGATGGTCTAAACATCCCCGAAAGCTCCCGGGGTCCCCAAATCTGGGGATTTTGGGGTTTTGGGGGGGGGTTGTGGATTTTTATCAGCGATTTGTTTTTCCCACCCCTCCACCCGTCCCCGTGGGAGTTCCCGGCGAGAGAATGACTAATTGCTGGCAAAACGAAGGGAGATAACGAGGGACTGGGAGGGGGAAAAGCCTTGCTCAAGTCCGAGGAGGGATGAGCCACCGTGGCCCGGGCGGCTACGGGATTGCGAGCCCCGTAGCCCACGTTTTTATACCACAAACCCGGGCTCTTACGGCAACCGGAGCATGAACTTTGGCAGTGGAGTCACAGCTCCTCCTCTCGCAGGAATTTCGGGGCCAAAATGGGGTGGTTTTTTTTGTTGTTTTGTGTTGTTTTTTTTTTCACATACCGAGAGCTGGTTTCGAAGGGGGCGGCTCGGAAGCCCGGCCAACCTGAGGGACAACATTTTCCTCAATTAACCGCCGCTAAATGAGTAACTCCTCATCCAGGTGCTCTCAGGGCTGGTGTCCCTGACCCTTCCCCGTTCCTGGGGTGGCCCCAGAGGGAACAGTTTGGCTTTTGGCCTCCAGAACGGCCAGTGATGGTTGAAGAACCTTTCTTGGGCGCCGTGTGGCTCTTCTGGCTCCTGCGTTTCCCCGTCCCTCGTGTCGCACACCGATGTGGTTGTGCAAGACGTGCAAAGGGTGGTGGTATTTCAGAGCAGACATCTTCATGATGGGAAAAGCCCTCACCCTCAGCTCGCCCTTCACGCCCCATAGAAAGCCTTTATTTCAATGTAAGGCTCTAACTGCTTTTTTTGGTTTTCCATCATCTTCTCCAGGCACGTTCTCCCTGAGACAGGTCTTGGTGCGTTCCCTCTTGCTTGTTTACGTCCCATTTTCAATCTCTGGATTAATTAATGCTTGCTGCTGGCAGGGTATCCAAGTGCTTTGTGCATTAAGGGAGAGCGGCGCTGCCCCGGGAGAGCCCGGACCCCCAAAACTCTCCCAGAACAGCTCTGCACCCCTTTGCTGGCACCGTGGCTTTGAGAACGGGCTGTGCTTGTGTGTGATCATTGGTTTTCAGCTTCCAGGGCCACCTCCCACCAGCCCAGGTTGCGCCAAGCCCCCTCCAACCTTGGCCTTGAACCCCTCCAGGGATGGGGCAGCCACAGCTTCTCTGGCCAGCCTGGGCCAGGCTCTCACCACCCTCACCCCAAAGAAGTTCTTCCCCAGATCCCACCTCAATCTCCCATTTTTTGGTTGAAAACCCTTCCCCCTCGTCCTATGGCTCCACTCCCCAAACACCATCCCTAGAGGGATCTAAAAGCCGGTGCTGAGGGCTATGGGGCAGAGGTGGGTTGGGCAGTGGTGGGTTGATGGTTGGGCTTGATAATCTTCAAGGTCTTTTCCAACCCAGGGAAGTGGTGGAATCACCACAGAATCACAGAACGTTTTGAGGTGGGAGGGACGTTAAAGCTCATCCAGCTCCAAACCCCAGGACACCTCCCACCAGACCAGGTTGCCCAAAGCCCCCTCCAACCTGGCCTTGAACCCCTCCAGGGATGGGGCAGCCACAGCTTCTCTGGCCAGCCTGGGCCAGGCTCTCACCACCCTCACACCAAACAAGTTCTTCCCCAGATCCCACCTCAATCTCCCAATTTTTGGTTGAAAACCCTCCTCCCTCGTCCCATCACTCCCCTCTCTCATTAAGAGCCCCCCCCATCTCTCCTGGAGCCCCTTGAGGGACTGGAAGGGGCTCCAAGGTCTTCCTGGAGCCTTCTGTTCTCCAGGCTGAACCCCTCCAACTCTCTCAGCCCCCCCTCCCAGCAGAGGGGCTCCAGCCCTCCCAGCATCTCCGGGGCCTCCTCTGGCCCCGCTCCAACAGCTCCGTGTCCTTGGGACATTGGTGGCCCCAGAGCTGGAGGCAGCACTGCGGGGGGACTCTCCCTAGAGGGGCAGAGACATCCCTTGGTCTCCTTCATGAGCTGGGCTGAGACTGGTCCCCGTGTTCCCGGGGCCCTGTAGCAGAGGGATGCCGCAAAATGACAGCCTGAGCTTTGCTGAGGGGTCTGGAGGACCTCCTGGTGGGTTCCTGGGTGATGGAGTTGATAAGTTTTGGGGGAGAAGATCCCTCCGTCCTGTCTGCATCCCTGCATCTCCCACTCCTGCCATCCTCCCCCTGTTCTTTGCCCTCTTCTACATGAAAATTTTCAAATCTATCCATCCTAGGGGTCTCTAAAGCCCTCCTGGTGGGTCTCACCTCCCTTGGGGACGTATCGGCGTGACACGATTCCCCAGTGTGCATCACCCCCAGGAGGTTCTGGGTTTAATGACCCCATAAAGGGCATTACGAATTTATTGGCACCTCTGGGTGCTCAGACAGGCACGTAGCCCTCAGCACAACCAGGCACGGGGCAACCTTTGGCCGTTGGCTTCCAAGCCCAGTGTTTACTAACGATGCCAAGGGCAACAGGAGCCTTTTTACCCGAGCTCTGCTGTTTGCTCAGGAGCTCTTAAAAAGCAGCTAAGCCAGCATGATTTATCCTGCTCAGTCTTGGCTGAAGCCTCCAGGCTTTCTCTAGTCCTTTCTCTGCTCCCCGGTTTTCCCCTCCGTGTGATGACACGGGGCGTTAATCGCTTGGAAGAGCGCCGGGTGTTTCAAAACTTCTCCAGTCCCCACCCATCCTGTCTGCATCTCCCACTCCTGCCATCCTCCCCCATTCTTTGCAGTCTTCTATGTGAAACCTTTAAAATAAATCCATCCTAGGGGTCTCTAGAGCTATTTCAGGTCAAGGTGCGGTTGTCTGGAGGGTTTCTGGGGGATGGAGTTGATAGGATTTGGGGGAGAAGATCCCTCCATCCTGTCTGCATCCCTGCATCTCCCACTCCTGCCATCCTCCCCCTGTTCTTTGCCCTCTTCTACATGCAAATTTTAAAATAAATCCATCCCAGGGGTCTCTAAAGCTCTTTAGGGGCAAGGTGATGTTGTCTGGAGGGCTCCTGGGGTCAAACTGGGGGTTGGAGCTGGTAGGATCTGGGGGAGAAGATCCACCCATTCCTGTATCTCTCACTCCTGCCATCCTCCCCCGGTTCCTCACCATCTTCTATGTGACAATTTTAAAACAGATCCATCCTGGGGGTCTCTAAAGCTATTTCAGGGCAAGGTGCTGTTGTCTGGAGGGTTCCTGGGGTCAAACTGGGGAACAGAGCTGGTAGGATTTGGGGGAGAAGATCCAAAACGTGTCTCAGCTCTGCTCCTGACCTTGTCTTGTCTGTCGTCATACTGAGGGGCTTCTCTGGGAGCCTCTGGGGGTGTAATAGGGGAGAAATGGGATTATTCTACCCCAAACAGCTTGGGATGGCTATTCCAGGTGGTTCTTCTGCAGCCTTTGGGGATAAAACCCTTACTTGTGTCTTCTCCACGTGGTGGGCGACGGAGGGGACGTGCCAGGAAGGTCACCACGGGGTCTGGTGATGAGCAGGGCAGCTTCCAGGGAACATTATCTCCCAGGGGCCACGAATGGGAAAGTCGTGGCTATCAAGAACCCTGTCTGGCTACCAAGAAAAACCTCAGAAGGGGTCACTCTGAAGAACGGTGGAGGGGGAGGATGGAGCCCAGCACTAACACCCGCCACGTGGTACGGGTCTGGGCCCTGGGGCTGCAATCCACCATCTGGTTTTTGTGTAACTTCGCCTTTCTGATAACTTTAAAAGCCGTGTCACGGAGGCACTGGGGTTCGCTGGTTCCCCGGCGGGGGGGGCTCGGGGTGAGGTGGCCATCGGGCACGTGTCTGCTGAGGATGGAGCTTTGCTGCGCTCAGGGGGTGGTTGATGATCAGGGGGTTTGGCTTCATGGAGGTTGGAGTGGGAAGGGACGTCTGGAGATCATCTCCCCTCAACCCCCAGCCAGAGCAGGGTCACCCAGAGCAGGTTGGATTCATCTGGGGGGGTTTGGAATCTCTCCAGAGCAGGAGACCCCTCCCCCCCTCTAGGCAGCCTCTTCCAGGGCTCTGCCACCCTCAAAGTCAAGAAGTTCCTCCTCATGTTGAGATGGAACTTCCCATGTCCCAGTTTGTGCCCGTTGCTCCTTTTCCTCTCACTGGGCACCACTGGGAAGAGTCTGGCCCCATCCTCTTGCCCCCAACCCCTCAGATATTGCTCAGTATCGATGAGACCCCCCTCAGCCTTCTCTTCTCCAGCTGAACAGCCCCAGGTCCCTCAGCCTTTCCCCAGCAGAGAGATGCTCCCATCCCTCATCTTCCTCATCATCCTCCTCTGGACTGTCTCCAGCAGTTCCCTGTCCTTCTTGAACTGGGGGAGCCCAGAACTGGTCCCAGTCTCTATCTGGGGCCTCCCCAGGCTAGGGCAGAGGTGGGGGATGATTTCCCTCCACCCACTGGCTGCTCCAGGAGACCTTCTTGGCCACAGGGGCACATCGCTGGCCTGTAGGCAACCAACCTGTTGTCCCACCAGGACTCCCAGTTCCCTCTCTCAGAGCTGGTTTCTAGAAGGTCCTTGGCACACCTTGGCCAGAAGGGCACATCGCTGGCCTGTGGGCAACCAACCTGTTGTCCCACCAGGACTCCCAGTTCCCTCTCTCAGAGCTGGTTTCTAGAAGGTCCTTGGCACACCTTGGCCAGAAGGGCACATCGCTGGCCTGTGGGCAACCAACCTGTTGTCCCACCAGGACTCCCATGGCTTGTGGGGCTGGATTTAGGCAAATCCCACTCCTGGCTGTGATGGGGATCCATGGAGCCAAGTACCCAGAGGGGTTCTTTGTGCCCCCACGAGTGATGGACGTGATCCCATGCTTGGCCATACTCAATGTGCACGTGGCCAGGGGTTCTGTTGGGGACCCCATCCCCATTTTTTGTCCCCCTCCCCAGCCACCAGGTAAAACCGCCCCGTCCCTGGGAGCCCCTCCGTTCCCCAGGGTGTCCCTGCCCCCCCCCGTTTGCTCCCGGTCGCGTCAGCGCAGGGAGGGATCTCATTATTTTTAACCTTCTCCAACCAGCCTCGGCCACTTAAATGAGCCTTGAAATGGCCAGTTGGGGAGATTTATAAAAATACACCGGAGCCAGACGGCGTGAGCTCCCGCTGGGGTGGGGGGGAGAGAGGGGGCCGTTCCTCTGCCCCACTGGTGTAACTGGGAGTGTG